GATGGTTCGTGGCTGCTGTTATGCTGGTGGGGGGGGGGGGGTACTCGCAGGAGCCACTCCGTGAAGTTGCTGACTTGCAGTGCCCTATCTGCGAATATCATGCAGTCACACTCCCTGATTATCAAGATCATGTCTGTAGTCATGTACCTCGAGAGCTGAGTATCTTTGACAGGAGCTCTCATCAATAGATTGATCGCGGCAGCCATGCCGCTGAGCAAGCTGGCCTGGATGGCGCAGGAGGCGACCGAGCCCGCGCAAAAGAAGCAGCTGACGGAGGCAGGAGCAACCATCGCCGCGACGGCGAAAGCAGGTGGCCGAGGCGGCAAAAAAACAGACCTCAGGCGCTGGAAGAGCTCGTGGTTGCGTTGGCCAAGCTGGCGCTGACAGACGAGGCGGAGCTGCGAAGCTTGATCGGCGCGGTGCACGACACGTGGCTCGCCCCGATCAGCGCGCCCATCGTGGAGAAGGCCTTGGAGGAGAATCAGGCGTTCAACAGCGAGGCCCAGACGCAGAGGGAGCTCGAGAAGGAGGCCCAGAGGGCGGGCAAGCCGTTCGACAAGGTCTCGATGTGCGCGCCGTTTCTGAAAGTCTTCTCCGCGCTTATTTTCGGGGCCTGTCAGCCGCTGAACGAGGGGGGGAAGGAGCCGCCGAAGGAGGCGGCGGCGTGCATGAAGCTGTGGGAGACGGTGGTGGCCCCGTGCAAGGACCCCAACGAGCTGCACAAGTACGCCCGCTTCTGCAAGGCGAAGCGCGTCAAGACGAAGAACAAGAACAACCAGGAGCATGCCAAGGTGCAGTTCTTGCTGGACGGCACCGCGGAGGTGGCGAGCCAGGTCTTGAGCAGCCTGCGGGCCGTCCTTCAGGCGCAGGGGGGCACGAAGACCATAGGCGGGGCTCCCAGGGGCGTCCTGGTGCGCGAGGCTCAGAGGCTCCTCGACACGATCAAGTAGTGAGAAGTAGGCCAGGCCAGTTCAGTTGGGCAGACAGTAGTAGGGCTCAGCAGCTATTAAGATTGGGTTTACTGTCTGAAATCGATACTCTGAGAGTTTCGGGACTAGTTGCTCCCTCCGCCCCTTCGGTGATCCGCCCCTCTCCTCTTGAGCCCGCTCCTGGTCCCGAAACGGCCTCTGTCTATCAAAACCATAGTTTTTATACTTTCTCGGCGGCTCCCGAAGTGGGGCCTGCGGTAGTGCTTCCCCCGTCGTCGCAAAGGGAACGGGAAAGGACGAGGTGCACCCAGCAGGATTTGATTCCTGAAGGTGGTCCCCCCCCCCCCTCCCCTGACCCCCTCCCCCCCTCCCCCTCCCCCTGCCCCTCCTGAAGGTGGTGCCATTTGGCAGCAGCCGCAGGCTGCGCGCCAATGGGCTCGCTGCCAGGCCTTCAGCGGCATGGCCGCCGCTGCGCACGCCTGGCACCTGTCTCGCCCTCCTCACGGAGAACCCAGGCGCATCTTCTTTTGCTGCTATGTGAGTTGCTGCGCCTCAGATTACAGGTTGCTGTGAATTGCGGTTTGTAGCTCAGTGGTCCAGCAATTGGGACGCGCCCCGCGGTCATGCTCATGCTCATGCTCATGCTCCTCCTCCTCCTCCTCCTCCTCCTCCTCCTCCTCCTCCTCCTCCTCCTCCTCCTCCTCCTCCCCCCCCTCCCTCCCCGAAAAGTTCTCTGCTCCCTCTGCATGCGAGGGCTCGCCGTGGCGCAGCAGGGGGTCGTGAGGGAAGCGGGCCCCGGAGGCTGCTCTCGCCGGCCACGGGCTCCCGGGCCCCGCAGGGCAGCCAGGGGACGACTCGGGGCCCCCAGGGCAGCGGGTCCTGAGGGAGACGACGACCGACGACGACGACGACGACGACGACGACGACGACGACGACGACGACGACGACGACGACGACGACGACGACGGACGGACGGACGGACGGACGGACGGACGGACGGACGGACGGACGAACGGACGACGACGACGACGACGACGACGACGACGGACGACGACGACGGACGACGACGACGACCGACGATGACGACGACGGCGATGACGGCGACGACGACGACGATGCCAGACGACAGGGAGACGCGGTCCTGGAGGTCCTTGGCGCCGGTCACAGTCTCTCTTCCTCTTTCTTTATTTCTCTCTTGTTTTCTTTCTCTCTTGTTTTTTTTGTTTTCTCTCTTTCTCTCTCTCTCTCTCTCCCTCTCTCTCTCTGAAAAGAAAGGCACAATAAACCTCCGTAAACAGAAACGTTTGGCGCCGATCCGCGCTGGCCCCCCCCTTCCTGGCGCGCCAAAAGTCTGCTTTTGGGGCAGGCGCGGTCCTGGAGGGGGGAGGAGGGAGGATGAAGAACGGAGGAGGGAGGAGGGAGGAGGGAGGGAGGGAGGGAGGAGGGAGGGAAGAGCAGGAGGAGGAGGAGGAGGAGGAGGAGGAGGAGGACGACGAGGGGAGGAGGAGGAGGAGGAGGATTCGCCGAGAATTCGCTCGCAACGGATAGTCGAATCGGCCGAAGGCGAAGCGACTACGCACGAAAACGGAGGCGCCCTTCATTCCTGGCTTGTCCTGGGCAATCTGAGGCCTCCGATACTCTGATTCGTGGTGGGGTGACTGCCCTGCCACAAACGGTTCAAACGTCCAGCGAAGACCCGAGGAGTTCCCCCTGGACCGCTGGTCCCTAGACCCCTCCATCGGCATGTGGCGTACCTTGCGCACTTCCGACCGAATACTACTGCTTGAAGGCGCGCCGTCTGGTGGCCTTCGGCTTGGGTCCGCTGGATCAACACTCCCAGCCCCACGGGAGGCCAAGGAGGGGGTCCACAGGGCCCTGTGAGGGCGGTGGAGTGCCAGCATGGCTCTCCACTCTCTCACTGGGCGTCGGGGCGAGGGCGGGGCTGCCCTGGGCCCCAGAGGGCTCAGGGCCCTCGGAAGTGACCTCGCGCCCGTGGCCGAGAACCCCGACGTGCGCGGCGAATTCCAGAAATTCTGAGACCGCCTGGAACCTCTAACCATACGTGGCCCTGTAGGCCTCGTGCTGGTGCGATTGCGCCCCACGCTTTGCGTCGAGGTCAGCTATTGTATTCCCAATGAGCTGCTGGGGCCCTATCATGGCTCTTTGGGCCCTAGTGGCGTGGGCTCGGACTCTACAAAGGCTTATCCCTTGCTCACCTGTCCCGCCGTTTTCCTGCACGAGCAGCCTGCATTCCTGCCCGACCTCTTTGTGGGTCGTGTCAGCTCTGGCGGCCCGCTCGGGGCCTCTGGCGACGCCGTCGATCGCCGTCTGGCGGTCGCTGTAGACCTGCACTGGGGGCACCGCCTGGAGGACCGTTGCCAGCTCGCTCTTGTAGATCGTCTGGTCGTGCTGCGATCCCTCCAGTGTCCCGAACGACTCAAAGTCCATCATGCGCTCTCCGTCGATCTTCACGACTCTGGCGTCGCCGTCGATCGCCGTCTGGCGGTCGCTGTAGACCTGCACTGGGGGCACCGCCTGGAGGACCGTTGCCAGCTCGCTCTTGTAGATCGTCTGGTCGTGCTGCGCGAGTGTCCCGAACCTCAAAGACCATCATGCGTCGTCCCGACCGTCGATCGACTCACCGCCTGGAAGACCATCATGCGCTCTCCGTCGATCTTCACGACTCTGGCGACGCCGTCGATCGCCGTCTGGCGGCGGCTGTAGACCTGCACTGGGGGCACCGCCTGGAGGACCGCTGCCAGCTCGCTCTTGTAGATCGTCTGGTCGTGCTGCGATCCCTCCAGTGTCCCGAACGACTCAAAGACCATCATGCGCTCTCCGTCGATCTTCACGACTCTGGCGACGCCGTCGATCGCCGTCTGGCGGTCGCTGTAGACCTGCACTGGGGGCACCGCCTGGAGGACCGTTGCCAGCTCGCTCTTGTAGATCGTCTGGTCGTGCTGCGATCCCTCCAGTGTCCCGAACGACTCAAAGTCCATCATGCGCTCTCCGTCGATCTTCGCGACTCTGGCGACGCCGTCGATCGCCGTCTGGCGGTCGCTGTAGACCTGCACTGGGGGCACCGCCTGGAGGACCGTTGCCAGCTCGCTCTTGTAGATCGTCTGGTCGTGCTGCGATCCCTCCAGTGTCCCGAACGACTCAAAGACCATCATGCGCTCTCCGTCGATCTTCACGACTCTGGCGACGCCGTCGATCGCCGTCTGGCGGTCGCTGTAGACCTGCACTGGGGGCACCGCCTGGAGGACCGTTGCCAGCTCGCTCTTGTAGGTCGTCTGGTCGTGCTGCGATCCCTCCAGTGTCCCGAACGACTCAAAGACCATCATGCGCTCTCCGTCGATCTTCACGACTGGCGACGCCGTCGATCGCCGTCTGGCGGTCGCTGTAGACCTGCACTGGGGGCACCGCCTGGAGGACCGCTGCCAGCTCGCTCTTGTAGCTCTGGTGGTGCTGCGATCCCTCCAGTGTCCCGAACAACTCAAACTCCATCATGATCTCTCCGTCGAGCTTCACGACTGCCCAGCCGTCTGTGTAGATGACCCCGTGCACGAGGCCGTCGAAGGCGCCCCCCACTTCGCATGTGGATGAGGAGGGCAGGCTCCAGAGGTCGTACTCCAGCGATGATTCCGCTGCGAGCCCTCTGACCCAGAGCGCCTCGGAGGTCGCGTACTGCTTCTCCGTCGCTCCAGGCCGCGTCATGGCACCACGCTGGCATCTGTGGTGCCCTCCCACTCTTCGTCTGTGATCCTGCCTGGCTGAGCACACGTACGTCCTGTGGCGGTCCGTCACTGCGTGCGCATGGCAGGCCTTGCCGATGCTGTCCTCTGCGGCACCCTTGTCGAGGACCCGCCGCTGCGGCCAGGTTCCGTCGCACCGCAGGTTGCGCGCCCGTGTCTGGTACTCCCGAGTCCACGTCTTGTTCAGCGGCCTCTTGAGAAGCGCGGCGATGGGCTCCGCGGCGACGCTGTCCAGGCCGTGCTTCTTGCCGTGTATGCGCAGCCAGTCGCCCATGAGGCCGTTCTCCGTGGCCGTGCTGATGCATTGCCTCAGGTGTCTGATCGGCAACGCCCCGAGGTCTCAGTGCTCGTCGCCGATGGTGATGCTGTGGGCCGCGGGCGTATTCCAGCCCAACCTCTGCACCGTGGCGATGATGGTCCCTGCGGGCCCTCGCACCTTCTGCCATGGGGCTCTGGCTCGCCCCACATGTATTACCCGCTTGCTGGCCCTCTTGTTGTGGGCGCTAGCTCGTCTCCTCCTGCCGTCAGCGGTGGTGGCGCCGAGGTGGTCGGCGTGTGTCACCATCCTGATGCCGAGCGGGTGCACTCCCTCCCTTGGCGGGGCCGTCCTGCCGCGCGGTGGTCGAGGCCATGGTGATCGCCTTGCCCTCCGCGCCCTCTGCTCCTCGCTCTCCGTGCGTGGTGACCCACTGCCGCCCTTGCGCTGCGGCCGCTCGGTGCACCATCTTCCAGTACCTCCTGCTGGCGGGGTCCAGCAGCGTGGCAATGAGGCCCAGGTAGTTCTGGGCGCACTCGTCGATGTCTGTGACTCGCCCGTCTCGCAGCGTGTGCACGATGAACGGCCAGTGAATCGCATTCCAAATTTTGGGGCTCTGCTGGCCCTCGGTGGGAGGCGCTCTGGCCGCGAAGCGGTCCTGTACCCCTTCCGCCTCCTCCCGAGGGGCGTCCTCAGACTCCAGCAGCCCGTCCTCCTCGTCCGTGTCGTAGCTTGCCTCGACCTTCTGCCCAGGTGCCCGCTCCGCGAACAGTGGCATGACGATGTCGTGGATGAGTGGCTGCTCCTGTGCCGCGGTGCAGGGCATGAGCCTGCACGGCTTCTGCTTGCAGTTGGCCTGCTCGAAGTGGCCCTGTCGCTTGCTCCAGTCGTCGCCCTCGAAGCTGTGGTACCTGCTGAGGTGCTTCTCGCATGCCTCGCCGAGCTCGCTCCAGTGGCCGTCGATCTGGCTCTTAGTGTACTTCCTGTGTGCGAGCGGCCTTGGCCATCGCACTGGCTGCGAGGGGCAGCCCCTTGGCCGCGTCAGCGGCCGTGGCGTCCGCTTGCACAGCACATTCCTCATGTAGTCGCTCTGCTGGTGCACTGGGACCCTCGTCCTGACGGGCAAGTGCGGCGACATGTTGTCTCCATCTTGGACCTCTACCTTGAGCGTGTGCGCCGCCAAGCCGCGCGAGACTCTGAAGTAGTCGCGCGCGCTGGTCGTGCCATCCTGCTTCAGGCAGCTGTCCTGCTGAGTGTCACGCACGATGACGCCGTTCATCTTGCGGACGATCTCGGACTGCTCCAGCACCTCTGGGTCCATCTTGCCGTCGCCATCGAGGATCCTCTCCTTCTGGATCACATTCGTGGCTGCGCCCCACTTGGCCAGGATACGCTGGTTTCTCTGCGTGGGGCCCCTGCTGTTCCACATGTACGCGGCACCTAGCATGAGCCCCTCCTTGCTGTGTGCGTCGACCCAGGCCACGGCGAGTCTCCCCTTGGACTCTCGCGGGCTGATGTCCCACTGGTTGATCCCCTTGCGCACGAAGTCCATACCCCTACTCCGTGGCGTCGCTCTCAAAACTCCAGCGCTGTGGCCAGCTGTGGTCTTCGCGCTGCTCACTAGACCGATGTCCCAGCCCTCTCTGCGCATGCGGGTCCGGGGAAGGTCGATCTGCGTGCCGCTGGCCTGCAGCTCCTGGCCCGGGACGATGGCGTCCTGGTAGCTGTCCCTGATCTGCTTCCTCACTGGCTCCAGCGAGCTCACCATGTTGGCGTTGACCGTGTACACGGCGAGTCGCCCCTTCGGGCAGCGGCGGTTGGTGCCGCCGCTACCCTCGCTGCTGCTGCACCCACTGGGTTTTGCTGCTGGTGAGGGTGTGGCCAGTCTGCAGCTCGCCCACCAGCAGCTTAAGAGGAGCAACCACTTTTCCAGCCTGGTCGGGCGTGACCCCCACGTCGACGAGCGCCTTGCAGATGTCCTGCTCGCTGGCGCCCGCGGGGATCTCGAGGAGCTCCTCCTTGATGGGGCTCTCGGGGCAGCTGCGCTTGCGGTTGTCGGCGCTGCCAGCCCGCTCCTTGGCTGCGCGCCTGGCCTTCTGCTGGAGGCGCTCGGCGTGCTGCTTGGCCCGCTCCTCTTCCTGTGCCTTCTGCTCCTTGGCGTGGGCGACGGCGGCGACAAGCTGCTCCCGCTTCTCGCTCCCGTCGTCGCCGAGGCAGCGCTCCGCCTGCTCCAGGAAGGCGAGCGCTGCCGCCCATCCCTTCCCTGGGGCGGGGACGGACAGTTCCTTGATCTTGTTGTCCAGGGTCTCGAGCTTGCTGTCGAACTTGCCCAGCTTGCTCTTCTCCTCGGCAAGCTTCTCTTCGAGCGCGTCCCTCTGCTCCTGGAGCGCGTCGATCCTCTGCTGGCACTTGTTCTTCTGCTCCGCGACCCTGTTCCTGTCTTGCACCACTTCTGCATTCGGTGAAGCATCGTGGCACTCCTGTCTCCAATGATGCCTGCTCGGCGGCGAGCTTGTCCTTGAGCTGTGCCACCTGCGGCTGCAGTGATTCCTCCAGGAACGGGTCCTCGGTGAGTTTTCTAAGCTCGGCCAGCTTGGCACGGTAGTGCTGCACCTTCCTGAGCTTCTCGTCGTGGCATTTGTCCTCGGAGGCCTCTCCTGCCGCCGCGCTGGAAGATCCTGCGGCTGCTGCTGTCGGGCGTGCAGCCCAGCACTTCCAGCAGTACTTGTACTTCGCTCCATTCTTGACGTTGCACGACCCGCACCGCCACGTCGTGTTGCTGCTGCCATTGCTCTTGCTGGCAACCATCCGTTGGCTCCGACACCCGTGGCCACTCTGAAGTCCAAGTGTCAGTGCACTCGGGGCCTCCTGCAGGCGAAAGGGGGCGCGCCCGAGCGCAAAATGGCTGAGGAGGAGGAGGAGGAGGAGGAGGAGGAGGAGGAGGAGGCTTCCGGCGCCGGCCACCGGCCACCGTCCTCGGGGCACCTGCACGGGCGGGCCGAGGGCCGCCGAGAGGGCCGCCGAGGGGCGGCCTTGGGAGGAAGCGCTGGTCCGCACGGGAGAGGCCCGGGGGCCCCTGTCCTGCGAGGGCCCGCCGCGGACTGGGCCAGGCCCTGGGCGCGGGCCCCAAGAATATACAAGTGGCACGTGTGTGCCCAGGCTCATACAACAAGCTGAAGGGGCGTTTGAAGCAGGAGTGACATGCAACAGCGAAGTCGCACTCGAGCGCAAGTGGGGTTGCCACACCTTGCGATGTGTGTACCAGGGCCCCCCAGGAAGCCTCAGGAGGCCCGACTTGGATACCAGAAGAGGCTCCAGGAGGCCCCAGGATTGTGAGTGTGTGTGTGTGTGTGTGTGATGTGTGCTTTGTGTGGTGCGTGCTTTTTGTGTGTTGTCGGTGTTGTGTGTGTATGTTATGTTTGTCTAGCGTGTGATGTGTTGGGCGTGATTTGTGTCTCTGTGTGTGCATGTAGTTCTGAAGCCCCAGGAGGCCCCAGGAGGCCCCAGGCGGCCTCAGCAGGCCCAGGAGAACTCCAGGAGGCTCCGAGGCGGGGTCTGGGGTACCAGAAGGTCCAGAAAGCCCCAGGAGGCCCCAGGAGGTTCCAGGAGGCCCCCAGGAGGCTCCGAAGAGGGGTCTGGGGCTCGATTTTGGGAGGATGTCTCAGGCGAAACCGCCATTCTCTGAGAATCGGGGTCAAAATTATTGAAATTACCATGTGTTTTTGAAGGCTTTATGTTAAAATGTTGAAATTCCCATGTGTTTTTGGACCTCTCCTTCACGATCTGCGTGAGGGGTGCCACCGATTTTCAGAAATTCGAGGATGTCCCGAGCGAAACGGCCAGAAAAATCAAAGACGGACGCACGCACGGACGCATTAATCCCCTCTGAGCTCTACTCCCTCGGAGAGGTGCGTATGAGAATATATATATATATATATATATATATATATAGATACACCACCACCACCACCTCCATGCCCCCATCCCTCCTCTTCCCCTCCTCTGCCTTCCGTCTCTCGTGGGAGAGGGATGGAGGGCGAGGGAGGCGGTGGCGGTGTACATTTGTTGGCCCCGTGCTGGGGGAGCGGGTCCTGAGCATTCTCTGGCTGTCGTTCCAGGGGAACGTTCCAGACGCCGCGAGGCCGTCGAGAGACGACTCGGGACGGGGGGCCTGGCCCCAGCCCCAGGGGAGAGGCTCCTGGGGTCAGCATCATTGGGCCGATCCCGCTCGAGACCCATCCCCATCCCGATCCCCTTCATCCCACCACCCCGGTTGGGGACATGCCCCTCGAAGCCCGCAGGGAACAGCCTACATCCACATCCAGGGGGGGGGGGGGGCTAGGTCGGCAAGTGGGGCCCGTGCCTCGCCAGTGGGGATAAGAATCGGCTACTCGATGCTCAGTTCCCGCCAGGGCCCGCTTCCTTCAGGAGGGGAAGAAACACACAGACACAAGTAATCGTCGACTCCCAGGACAATATTGGAAAATCTGAGAGGTGGGGGGAAGACGAAAACTTCGAAAAGATTTGAAAATATGGGGAATCCTGGGATTTGTGTGTATTTATTTGTGTGTCCTTGGGCCCCTTGCTTCCTTCACGGCCATAGGACAAGGCGCGGCCGCTGCTGAACGCGTTCGAGGCTCCCTCGTCGCCGCCGCCGCCGCCGTCGCCGCCGCCACCGCCGCCCTCGCCGCCGTCGGCCTCTGATCGTCGGCAGTCCGTCGAGCGTCGTCGCCGTGTCGTTGTTGTCGCCGCCGCCGTCTTCGTCGTCGCCGCCATCGTCGTCGTCGCCGCCGCAGTCGCCGCCGTCGTCGTCCGCTTCTCGGTCTCGGGTCGCCGTTGTTGCTGTCCTGCCTCCCCCCTCGCATTCCATCTCTCAAGGGAGGAACAAAAAACACCTGGACCGGACAATTCGCGTTTACGAAACGGCCCTGAGCGTTTACTAAACAGCCTTGCCCTGCTCGATTCCTTCTTTGGAAGCGTTTACTAAACGATTTTGCGTGTCGGGATGGTTATTCAGGGGCTTGATTTTTTGACTTCTAATCTCTTCACGGAAGGGCGGCGGGATGCAGGGACTGTTGGTGCACGGTGTGCGTATATATTGTCGTGGGCCCCGCAGGTGAGGCCTGGTGTGACCATGGCCGACGTCGTGCCCGACAAGCTGATAGAAATTTACTACCGCAAGGATGAGGGGAAGCGTGCTCATTTCAAGTCCCTCCGCATAAAGACTGGCGTCCGCTTCGAGGACATGCTCTTCTTCGACGACGCGAAGGATCGAGAGAAGCCAGCCATCTAAAGATTTTCGACCGCTTCCTGATGGGCTCTGGTGATGGCCAGAGATGTCGAAATGTCCCAGAAGGGTTTCGCCAGCTGTCGGGGGCTCGGGGCAGCAAGGCATGGTTTGTGGGGATTCTTGGAGACGGAGCACTCCGGAAGTCTGTGGAGGCTGTCGGGGTCGGGTCCTCGCAGGTCCCTGACGGTCTCCACAGGGGCTCTTGGAAGTGTCAGTTGGCATGAAGAACTTGGCATCGGTCGGACGTGTTTTGTTCGTTCGGCAAGGCCAGCGCCAGAAATTCGGAACTTCCCCGAAACATGTCGGATCATCTTAAGGCATCTCGAAGCATCTTGAAGCATTGAAACCATCTCGAAGCATGCACGCACGAAACCGAACGGTGCACGAAAAATGGACGCCCGAGCGATGCAAGAAGAAAAGGATTCTGTCGGAATAGGAGTCTTGGAGGTCTTTGGCAGTTTTCGGGCTTCTGGCGCTGGGAACGTCAGCACATCAGGCTCAGGAGCCTGTCCTGGGGAACTGTTTGTCACCGAAAACGACAATTGGTATAAACATAAGTTCTCGGAGCTCCGCGCGGATTTCTTGGATCGGCGTTGGACCCCCCTGGCTGGCGGCGCCTCTAGCGTCGCCCCTGCCGCGCTCCGCGCGCCAGGTGGGGGGGGGTCAGCGCCGATCCAAGGAATCCGCGCGGAGCTCCACATGTTTTGTGCTGTCCCAACCGTCCTGTGCTGCTGGGTGGGTCCTCGTTTGGGAAAAAGAGATCCCCGCGTCGCCTCCTCTTCTTCTCCTCCTCCTCCTCCTCCCTCCTTCTCGCCTCCCTGCTCCCACCACCGCCCCTCACTGTGGCACGCCCCCCACACCTTTCGTGGCCCCATGGGGAGCTCCACCGAAGGCCCAAATGCTAGCGCTCGCATTCGCCCGCCGCACCAAATATTGCACACACATACACACACCTCACACGTTTCGTGGCCCCATAGGGAGCTCCACCGAAGGCCCAACAGCCAGCGCTCGCATGCCCGCTCCACCCATTCCGGCACACCCCTCGCACATTGCGTGGCCCCATGGGAAACTCCACCGAAGGCCCAAATGCCAGCGCTCGCACGCGCCCACGGCATTCATTTTGGCACACACACACACCTCACGCGCTTCGTGGCCCCATAGAGAGTTCCACGGAATGCGGTGCATACAACGACGGTGCCCACAACAGCATATGGTTGGGTCTTTCGCCAGGCGAATTTCCCAACCATCTTTTGGTGTTGGGTTCTCGTTTTGAAGGAACAGCGCCCCGCGTTCTCCTCCTCTCCTCCTCCGCCTCTCATCCATCCTCTACCCTCATCACCATCACGTCGTCACGCCCGTTCCGGCACACCCCTCATACGTTGCGTGGTCCCATAGGGAGCTCAACCGAGTGGCTTTGTGGCGCAGTTCGCATGCGGGTGCCACGCCCGTTTGGGCACACTCCTCAAAGGTTTCGTGGCCCCAGAGGGAGCTCCATCTAAGGCCCCCGTGGCGCAGTTCGCACGTTGGCGTCACGCTCGTTTCGGCACACCCCTTACACGATCCGTGACCCCATGGGGGGGCTCCACCGAGTGCTTCTGTGGCGCAGTTCGCATGTGGGCGACGCTCCCGTCTTTGCACACCCCTCACACGCTTCGTGTCCCCATAGGGAGCTCCACATAAGGCCCTAGTGCCACAGTTCGCATGTGGGCGTCATTCCCGTCTCGGCACACCCCTTATACGTTTGGTGGCCCCGCAGAGATCTCCAGCGAAGGTCCCAGTGGCGCAGGTCACATGAGGGCGTCACGCCCGTTTCAGCATTGCCTTCACACGTTCCGTGGCCTTATGGGGAGCTTCACAGCAGGTCCCAGTGGGAGGGTTCACATGCAACCCCCCTAATCTGCACGCCCCTCACACGTTCCGTGGCCCCTTTGGCAGTTGCACCGAAGACGTTCCTAACAACTTCGGCATTCACAGCTGCATCTGGTTGGGTCCTTCGCCAGGCTGATTGCTCTTGTGTCTCATCCTGAGTACGCTGTCTTGCGACGGTCTTTGGGCGGGACCCACGAGCCCGAAAAAATAGTGAGAACCTCCGGGAGCGCCTGTTCCCACATCCTGACCCCTTCCCCAGGACGGGAGTTTCATCCCATCTTGTTTTCTTGTTGATGGTTCCAGGGCCCAGCGGGGGCCCCCAGGTGCCGAAAGTTGCCAAAATCCTCCCGTCGTGGATTTCCACGGCGCCAGAATTCTTGGAATCGAGGCAAATGTTCGCTCCCCTGATGCACCGTCGTTCAGACGAACTGTATTTGGGCATCTGTCGCCTACGGAAAAGAGGATGCACTCGCCCTGCCCAGCTGCGATACACGCTGCCGTGGTGTAAAGAATTACCCGGGCCCGTCTCCCCGTGCTGTTCCCCCCCATCTTCTCGAAGACGCGCAGGAGTGACCTCTGGCCAGAGTGACCTTTGGTGCGGGCCCCCCGATCGCGGAACGCGATGCGGCAGCAGCGGCCGGCGCGCCCA